CTTAAAGATTCGCATTGGGATCTTTGAGTAAAAGTGACTATGTGTGCTCCAGTGTTAAGTTGGAAGAAGGTCTAGAAGTTTCCAAATTCGTTGAGCTCACAAAGCATCCAAGATGTTTCGCAATGGTCGTCGTTTGTGGACGCTTGTTGTGAGCTCAGTCATCGCCCTACCTCGTGTTGACTGCACACGCACCATGGCGTAAATACTCACTTCCCTCCTCCGGTTTTCTCTGCCGATGTTCATCTATAATTTTCCCGAGTTTTTTCCATTCGATCTTCTGATTAAACAGTCGCTGTAGTTAACTTGTTTTTTAAAGTTTTTTCTTAAGTTTGGCTTTATGCATCATGTGCCTCGCATTTTTCCCCGTTTTGGCAGTTGACGTCATGCAATTCGATTATGCAATTTCATCTGTAAGAACTATCTTTTGGCAAACCAACACTTTTCATTTAGATGCCTCCCGAACCAAAGAAGGGAGGATGCCTAGTGGCTCGAGCGGTACCGCTCCCCTTGGGTGGTTCAGCAACCCAAGATTTGGCAGACCGTATGGAACAGCTCATAATCGAAGACACAAATAGCCAAAGAAAAATTGACAAAGTGCGTTTAATATATCACTTGCAATCAGCAAATAACTAATGAGTTATCACTTAAGGTGGCCAACAATATCAGCCCATCGGACTTTGTTACTTTGCAAAGTATCAGATCATCGGCTTTGGCGCGAAAAACAGCGACAACTTCAAAATTTTGCAGCAGTGGGCCAATGCTATTCAATGATCTGCTCAACAAAGATCCAGATGAGGTTTGTATTTTTTTAGTTGTTGTTCTTCTCATAGTTGATTACATCTCTTCAGCAGGAAGTCCCTCTAAAGAAAAACGATAAGGTCAAGGAATCTGTTAAAAAGAAGGAAGATAAAGCAGTTGAGAAGGAGAGGAAAAGCAGTAGCTCAGAGGAGAAGGAGCAGTTAAAGGAGGGTGACCTTCTATCACGAGGTCCCGTAAAGAATGTACGACCTCCTCAGACTCATCACCCATACAGTATCGGTTGGTGGTTTTTTGGAGCAATCATGTTTTGCATTTTTGCTCTTTAAAAATGATTCATTTAGGTCCCCTACACTATGGAACGGCTGCTCAAAGCACTGTTCATGACTATTCCGCTTTTTCAAACTACGGTAGCGGTTACGAGTGCGGAAGCACATGGACTGACAGTCCAGATACATTCGGGTACGATTGGAATACTTGTAAACAAATCAGCAATAGTTTAGTACGCCAATAAATGTTAGGCAGGGAATCGAGTTGGAGGAATAAATTTATTTAGAATCATTATAGATACATATCATCATCGTCTTCGCCAGATTCCATTGGAACAGATCATGGCTACCATTCTAGCTCACCCATACAGAAGTCTGTACAGAACAGTCCGTTCACAGACCATTCACTATCTAAAGACGGTTGGTTGCACGCAACTGTCTGCTGCTTTCAGGAGATGAATTAAAATGAAATATCGTTTGCAGAACTCTCTCGTCTATTGGATAATTCGGAATTACCAGATCCACTTGTTGATTTTATTTTGAAATACTCACGCCGTTATACCGAAAACGCTACCTCTGAAGATCCGATGTCAAGTCCAAAACACCGTCCAGCATCAGCAGATTCTGGTGTGGACTCACCAATGTCCGCTCGTTCTGCGCCACATGCCAGTCCCGAAGTACCTACTGGTGGAAATAGGTACCTTTCCTACATGATTGCTTCCCTATATGACCGCTGTCTTTTTACTAGTCAAGGAGGTTTGTCAAAATACGTCCAACCTATTTAGCGGTCCTACTACTCCCTCATTTAACCAAACTCGACTCAGCCCCAGCAAGGGCCTTGAACGTTCAGCGAAGCAAACTCTGCGAGCGCTTATCCCTGATGGAGAAATGGACGACGCTTGGGCTTGGACTTTAAAATGCATACAGGTAAATGGCTTACTTCACATTTGATTTGAAACAAGAATTTGCTCTTCTATTGATATTGCAGTTTGCTCCCGGCACTCTCACACACCAAGATGATGATCGTGACACGCTCCTCCATATTGTCATCACACATCACGACCTCGCGAAGATTTACTCTTTAGTCGAACAGCAACTGAAACTTGACAATGTCAAAGAGCAGCGACCATTTGATGTCCCGAACCGATACAATGAAACCCCACTGTTTTTAGCTGTACAACAACAGCTCAAAGAGGTATCTTTTTTTTTGCTTTCAAAAAAAAACTTGAAACTGATCATTTTAGGTTGTTGCTTATTTGTTAGAAGTTGGCGCCGATCCAAATGTACAAACGCTCCGCCCAGAGAGGGAAGGAGCTCTACACTATGCGGCTGCCAGAGGGATGAAAGATATTGTTGAGGTGAGAAATATAGTCACTCGTAATTCAAAAAAAAAACGAACTACAATGACGTAGGAATTTGAGCTATATAGCTGAGAATATACTTGTAGTGAACCTTAATGTATTTTTCGAATAACTGTGAAGATATATAGTTCACTTATAGAATATGAATGCCTGCATAAAAGCGCAAGGGTCACATCTTACTCTTCGAGTACGCCATTAATGTTTTAAAAAATCTGAATGTTACTCTCAGTCCAATCAGTTTTTCCATGAATGGCAGGCATGATTACAAAAGAAATGTTTAATATTGTTTTCGGAATCCGCTTTCATTATCTAGAGCAGGACGAATCAGTTACATATAATGTAGTTTAGAGACTTTATCAAAATCTTTGCTGAGCTTTGATGTATAAAACTCTAGACCGTGCTATCCACTTATGAGGGTCCCATTGCCTCAGAGTCACTCCTCACTATTTGAGCAAGTGTTACTAGTAGCAGTTTAACAGCGTGTGAAGCGAACATAAAGTGAATCTCGTGCGTTGTGCCGTAATTCATACATGATGAATGACTACTGTTTGAAGGTTCATTTACATGAACTTGCCTATGTGCTTTTTATTGAATTGTATGACGAGATTCCGTTTTGC